CCCTGTGAGGAGAGGGGGTCCCTGTGAGGAGAGGGTCCCTGTGAGGGGGAGGGGGTCCCTGTGAGGGGGAGGGGGTCCCTGTGAAGGGAAGAGGGTCCCTGTGAGGAGAGGGATTCCTTTGAAAGGGAGCGGGTTCCTGGAGGAAAGGGTCCTTGTGAGGAGAGAGTGTCTGTGAGGAGGGGGTTCCTGTGGGGGGAGAGGGTCTCTGTAAAGGGGCAGGGTCCCTGTGAGGAGAGGAATTCCCGTGAAGGGAAGGGGTGCCTGTGAGGAGGGGGTCTAGAGGCCACAGCGAGGCTGCCAGGCTGGGATCTGCACAGGTGGGAGGTGGCCCAGGTTATCACCTGGATTGTGTTTTAGGGGTCAGGTCCTCCATCTAGGGAAGAGCCAGCTGACTGACCCCCTCCAGAGGGAAACTTGCACGTAGAGCTCTCAGGCAGCTTGTGAGGGACAGGTTCGTGGCTGTAGCAAAGTCTTTTCTTCACGCTTGACCCGAGGACTGCTATCTTTCCCTCAGGTTAGACGGAAGTTCTTTTCTCAGTGGTCATTTCCTTTGAGGTCGGTGTGTTTGTGCTTGTGTGAAGGTGGAGCCCGCAGCGGAGCAGGAGCTGCATTAACCCTTTGCTGCCAGCCTCTTCTGCTGGGCCCGCCCCGAGCATGGGAGCCCTGGTGGAAGGTTCCAGAGTCCCATTACTGGCCTGCTCCGCCCCCAGATAACCTGTGGAGTACGTATGCGGAGAAGGGGGCATTTGTGGAGAAGAAGGGTGTGTCCTCAGTGCCCGTGCCGGAGGAGAGCAGAGCCAGCGGGCTGCCTTACGTCCTCACTGACATCATGACCTACTTCACCATGCTGCTTGGCATCTACTTCCCCTCAGTGACCGGTGAGCCCCCCAGCTGTAACTACCCCCACCCCCACCCCGTGACCAGTGAGCTGCCCAGCTGTAACTACCCCCACCCCGTGACCGGTGAGCCCTCCAGCTCTAACACACTCATTGCTCCCCTTTCTTTCCCAATTGTCTCAAAAATCGAGCCTGAGGGTCTCGGCTCCCTGTCTGTGCTGAGGAGTGCTGGAGAAGTCGCGTGGTTTACAGGATCCTGTTCCACGCTCTCCCAAGAAGCCTGTGTTATTAGGAGCAGCCCTGTGCTTGGGGCGGTTAGGAATGGACACAAGAGCTGTCAGGCCAGGAGCCACGGTCATCCTTGTCCTTATGAGAGTGGCCGACCTTTCAGGGTGACCACTAGTGCATACTAGTCCCCCCCCACGTGTACATGCACACACTTGATCACACATACACATGTGCACACCTGTGTCAACACTCAGGTTCTGCTCGGCCTGCCTGCCGGGACACCCTCAGCTGCCCCAGGCACAGTGGGAGCCCCCGGCTCCCACCCAGCCTGGTGCTGGCTGACTGGGCGGCCTGTTTCTGTCCTTCTGGTCCTCACCCAGGTCTGCTTCTGGTCCCTGCTCAGAGCCTGTCCACGTGGAGAGGCCACTCACCCGTCTCTTGACTTTATCTTACCTCTTCAAGAGGCAGTGGCAGCAGGAAGGCGTTGCTGAGCGTTTCTCTTTAGTCTCAGCCTTACCAGCATGTCGCAGTCGAGGTTCATTCTTTCTCTGCCTCAGCTCCTCCTTTTCCGTAGGTATCATGGCGGGATCAAACCGATCTGGGGACCTCAAGGACGCCCAGAAGTCGATCCCCACTGGGACCATCATGGCCATTGTGACCACGTCTTTTATTTGTATCCTTGAAGGGGTCAAATGTGGGAGGTGCAGGCACCACAGAAAGGATGGCCCTCTAAAGCTCCACTTGGCTCACTGCTGTGCCAGCGCCAGCTTTGGGTAGGCTTGCCTGGTTTTGGGCGAGTTCTGACCACAACATCCATCACCTAGAGAGGGAACTGGGCTGGCGTGGGTCTGATGCTAGGAAATCAGACACAAGGCACCTGGGCGCCAAGCTTCAGAGTTGGTTATGGAATGTGATATTGTACATAAAACACACGTAGTAACCCCATTATTACGTGTAACGTGTTAGTTATGTGTAACTGTGTGCGTATTACATGATAGCTGTGTGTGTGCTAGTCACAGGTTTTCAAGCTGGGTCACTGGTTTCGAGGTGCCAGCAGAGCCTTTTCTCGATCACTGAGGTTTGTCCTCTTACCAAGTGAGCGTCTCCTGCCTGGTCCCCGTGGTGGTCACGCTGCAGGCCAGGCCCATCCTGATTGACTGAGGCCCCATTCTGTGGAACCAGGGTGGAGTGGTGAGGCCGGTGCCTGAGGCCACAGGGACACAGCAGTGCAGGCGCAGCGGGGGCCCGGTGGTCCAGGCCCACCTGTGACAGGTCGCCGCTGTGAGCACGTTGCACCCACTGCTTCCTTGACACGAGCTGCAGACCTCTCCTGCATCGTGCTTTTTGGGGCCTGCATCGAGGGCGTGATCTTACGAGATAAGTATGTTGGTGTTGGGGCCGGCCTGGTGGCATAGTGGTTAAGTTTGCGTGCCCTGCTTCGGCAGCCCAGGGTTTGCAGGTTCAGATCCCGGGTGTGCACTGACACACCACTTGTCAAGCCGTGCTGTGGCACGTGTCCCACGTAGAGGAAGATGGGCATGGATGGTAGCTCAGAACCAATCTTCCTCAGCAAAAAGGAGGGTGATTGGCAGTGGATGTTAGCTCAGGACTGATCTTCCTCAGCAAAAAAGAGGAGGATTGGCAGCGGATGTTAGCTCAGGGCTGATCTTCCTCACAAAAAAAAAAAAGTACGTTGGTGTTCATTTGCAACTTCTAGAAACTTCTGGGGTCATCAGTTTTCCTGAAGATGACTTTAGTCCTGAAACTGAGAGCACCCCAGAGTTCAAGCATCTTGTGTGGAGCAGGAAGCCCCATGTCCCCTTTGTTGGCGTCCGTTTGGTCTGATGTGTCCATCCCTCTGCTGCTCCGGCCTGGAGCTGGGGAACCGCAGAGTAACCTGGGGTCCCAATAGTGCCAGGGGCATGGGGGATCTTGGGAGAGACCTCAGGAGACTCCATTAGCCCTGCCGCTCACTGGAGAAGCGGCCAGTGCTCCAGGCTGTTGTCCACCAACCCGGCTTTCTGGCGGGTGCACGTCCCTCAGGCCCTAGAGCTCGAGGGGTCCTGGGCAGTCTCTGTGAAGCCACAGCCATGCCATCTGTCCACGGCAGTGCCACTTTTGCAGGAGTGACAGTGGCTGTGCAGACCCTGGGCTGGGCTGTGGCTTCCTTGCTCCTGAGAAAGGACCGGGGCGGGGGGCAGGACCCGTTTGTTCACTCGGGTGGGAGCAGCTTCATTCCCACTCAAGACGTGGGAAAATATTTTACATCTTCAGCTCACGTTTTAAAAGTGCACCCTGCCCGCCCCACAGGTTTGGGGAGGCCCTGCAGGGGAACCTTGTCATTGGCATGCTGGCTTGGCCGTCCCCCTGGGTCATTGTCATTGGCTCCTTCTTCTCGACCTGTGGTGCTGGCCTGCAGAGCCTGACCGGGGCGCCGCGCCTGCTGCAGGCCATCGCTCGAGACGGCATCATCCCCTTCCTCCAGGTGAGCACGGCGGCTGCCCGCAGGCTCTAGGGCTGTGTCATCGGCTCCCCTTCTGAGACCCTCAGAAGGAACGTGTCTGGGACGGTGTCCAAGGGTCTGTGTCCAGAGCACGATCTTAACGGTTAAAGGTGGTGGGACCCACGTCTCCACCTCCAGCCTGGCAGCCCCCTGACACGCGGTGGTCACTGGGCTGAGGGCTCAGGTGTGTGGGTGGAGGCAGCCCCTCACCTCTGTGGACTGCGGAAACGGTTCAGAGCAGTGACTGGGTGCTTCCACTTCCTCCGGGGTTAGTATCTGTCCTGCTCAGCCCTGCGGGATGCTGTACCCAGGACTGTCCCGTTGTGATGATGACAAGGGACACAGTGTCCTGGGGCCCTCCTTCCTCGAGTTGGGGCTGATGCTTTCTGGAATGAACCTGAGGCCATAGATGTGTTAGTGTCCTGGGGCCACCAGAACAAATGCCGCAGACCAGGAGGCTTAAATAACACAAGGTGCTTTTCTCTCTGTTCTGGAGGCTGGACGTCCAGATCAAGGTGTGGGCGGGGCTGGTTTCCCCTGAGGCGTCTGTCCTTGGTGTGTAGATGGCCATCTCCTCTCTGTGTCTTCACAGGGTCTTCCCTCTGTGTGTGTCCAGTGTCCCGATCTCTTCCTGTAGCGACGCTGGTCGTGTTGGATTAGGGTCCTCCCTAATAGCCTCTGTAAAGGCCCCATCTCCAAACACAGTTACATTCTGAGGTGCTGGGGTCAGGACTTGACCACATGAATTTTGGGAGAAGCGCCATACCTTCGTATTTGAGTGTTGCGCCTGAGCCATGATGAATGTGGTGGCTGTGGTCTGGCCCTCGCGCCTCCATTGTTCTGTGCTTCTCACCTTCCTTTCCTGAAACCGATCCTAGCCGCCTTAGTTTCTTCCCCTGTCGTGCCTTCTATCTGTCCGCTCAGGTGCAGACGAAGTCATGGTGCGTGCAGTGATGCGTGGAGACCATGCTGGATTGTGTGTCACAGTCAGGAGGGCGGGCCCTTCTGTTCAGGAAGTTGGCTTGTGGGGTGGCCTTTGTACCGTGTCCCCCTGACTCCCCCTGAGCCTCCGCCGGGTGGTGCTGCTTCACAGTCTGTTCCGTGGTTTATTCTGAGTGTCTCTGCAACGTGCTCTGAATATCCCTTCTCAGAACCACTGGCCAGCAGGGAGTGCGGTAGAAAAAGCTTTTAAAGCCTGGTGTTGCTGGAGGTGCAGTGTGGCCTTCCGGAAATTTCTGCTGCCACATGTGGCTGTGGGTGAAGGGTCCAGATGCCTTGCAGTGAGGTCCTTGTGGAATTCTCCTAGCAGGTGTGTGCTGCGGGAGCCTTGCGCCTACCGCCTCGAGGCTGCCCTTAGGATCCCAGGAGACCCTGGTCCAAGGCACTGGGGTGTCGCCCTGCACTCCCGACTAGTGCTCGATGCAAGTCTGGGGTCTGATGGTCCCTGGGTGCTGTCTGCCCTCACAAGTTCTGGGTGTCGAGTTTCTTCCAGACCCCACTGGTAAGGTCCAATACACATCATAAAAGTCCATTTTTGCTTGTCGCCTCTCTGAGACCTCTTTTGGCTTGGACCCGACTAGCTTGGCTTCTCGCCTGAATGTGAGGCCTCGTCCCTGTGGCTCCTCGCCCCTCAGCCACCAGCCCACATGCCGTTCTCCCTGCAGGTGTTCGGCCATGGGAAGGCCAACGGGGAGCCCACGTGGGCCCTGCTGCTCACAGCCCTCATCTGTGAGACCGGCATCCTCATCGCCTCCCTGGACAGTGTGGCCCCCATCCTCTCCATGTGAGTGGCTGTGGGCTCAGTGGAAGGTGTGTGGGGACCAGGCTGTGGAAATGTGGCTGCTGCTGCAGCAACCAGCGGGACATGAGGCCCCTGCTCTGAGCCTGGCCTTCTGCTCAGGGGACAAGTAATAGAGAGGAATGGGCACAGGTGGCCAGATGGTCACTCATGGGACAGTGACGTGGACTGTGGGAGACAGGGAGACCCCATGGGAGGGGACGGTGTCGTGGATGAAGGGGGTGGGGAGACCCCCCGGCAGGGGACGGTGACGTGGATAAGGGAGCTCACCGGGAGGTGGCAGGCTGGGGCTCCTGCAGGACAGGACAGCATGTCGGGACCACCGTGGGACCTGGCCAGCCCCTCTGACGCTGCTCCCCGTGTCCCCAGGTTCTTCCTCATGTGCTACATGTTTGTGAACCTGGCTTGCGCTGTGCAGACCCTGCTGCGCACGCCCAACTGGCGTCCACGCTTCAAGTACTACCACTGGTGAGCACTCCCCCAGAGGGCGGCCCCCGTGGGTCCCAGCGACACGGATGCATCTGCAAGGATGCTGCCCCCTGGGTCCCAAGGCCACGTGGGGCCCTGATTGTCCTTTGGAGCAAGCCAGGCCAAGCCGATGAGGGCTGCGTGCCTGTATTTGTCACCTGGGACGCCCAGGCATCCCGAACCACATGGACTCCACCTTGTGTTCAGCCTCGGCCCTCCTGGGTCTGAGGGTGGGACCTCAGGCTGCCTGGTCTCCATGTTACCAGTGCGTCGGGCGCTCTGGCGGACGCATGAAGCCCATTTTGTTAAGTGCCCAGCAGGGCGCTGATCACGCTGGGGAGCAGAGCAGGTGGTCAGTGTAGTCGTGGGGCCATCTCAGCCCTCGGAGACAGTGCGGGGGTGGAGCACCCAGTCACCAGGCGTCATTGCTATTTTCTTGGAGTAACTGAAAGATTTTCACTGAGGGACCAGTGACGTTTTTGAGGCAGCTGCTCACGTGCTAGTTTGGGGCCCTGGGTGGGGGCCTGCATGTGAGCTGCGCATTCCCCCAGGACGCTGTCCTTCCTTGGCATGAGCCTGTGCCTGGCCCTGATGTTCATCTGCTCCTGGTACTACGCCCTCTGCGCCATGCTCATAGCCGGCTGCATCTACAAGTACATCGAGTACCGAGGGTGAGCTGCTGCGGGCCGCGCCCGGCCGCCACGTTCACGGGCTCATGGCAGACTCGCGCTCCCTGGAGGGGGGGCCTCCTCGGGGTCTCGTATCCAAGTGTCTCCTGGGGAACAGGTGCATGGGGGCCTCCGGTGGCCGAGCTCTCAAAGCCCCCGTTCCCCTCCCGGCGCCGGCCCTCAGGTGGGGTCAGGCGTTCACCTGCGAGCTCTCTGTCGCACGCCATTGTCATAACGGGAGAGCCGCCACGTTCACTGTTCTCTGTGGATTCCACATTTGTTACGATAGGTGGTGAGGTTTATCTGTGTCTTTGTATAATAGCCACAATGTTTCACAGTGCGCTGTTTGGAAACTTTGAAATCCATCTGATGATGGCACTGACATGGTGGATTTCAAAATTTCCAGAGTACACTGTAGACAGAAAAACCACGGCAACCATAGGTCATCAGAGCCCCCAGTCTACCACTGGGGCATTTCCCGTGGCTGCCCTGGCCCCCCACCCTGGAGGGAGCTGGGGCCTCGCAGGGCCAGCTGGTGGGGGTGAGGAGGGTGGGCCCCAGGTGGGCTGCCTGCAGCCCCCTCCCAGCTCTTTCTCGCTGGCTTGGAAGGAGGGCCTGGGAGGCCCTGTGCTCCTGCTGGTGAGGCTGGGCCTGTGGAGCCAGCTTTGCCCCGGTCACTGCCTGCTCCTCAGAGTCCCCTGCCAGCAGGCTTTCCTTTGTGTCCCCTGTCTGCCTCTCACTGAGGTCCCACACGGGGCTGCCAGTGCCACCCCCACCCTCCCCATTCTTCCCCCTTCTTGTGTCCTGCCGCTTCCCGCGCTTAGCCAACTTGGGAGGCCCCCTCCTCTGTCACAGAAGTGCTGCAAAGACCCCAGGTTGGCCCCCAGGGGGCCTGCCCGGTGGTCCCGTCCTGGGTGTGCTGCAGGGCGGGGCCTCACAGCTACTCTCCTCGCAGGGCCGAGAAGGAGTGGGGCGATGGCATCAGGGGGCTGTCTCTGAATGCCGCCCGCTATGCCCTGCTGCACGTGGAGCAAAGCCCCCCCCACACCAAGAACTGGAGGTGAGTGCCCGCAGCACCCCCAGCCCACCTCACACCCTTTAAACCCACGGAGTGCCCATTTCTAAAGTCTGACTTCAGAGAGAAGAACCACGGCACCCTTACTAGGAAATGATCAGGAGCTTCCAGCGCCTTCCCTCAGTCCACAGCGGGGCAGCCTGGGTGTGATCAGCTCGTATCTGACCGCCCGGTGAGGGCCATTGGGAGGGCGGGCTGGGCTCTGAGCCGGGCCTGGGGTGTGGTGGGTGGGGAGGGGTGAGCTTACCTGTCGGGTCCTGCTGTGGACGCTTTGGGTGGTGGACGTCTGCGTGCAGGGCTGACCCCTCCGCCTTCTCACTTCTGGGAGGAGGTGGGGGATGTATCTGCACTGGAAGCCCCTTGGCCTCCAGCCTGCACATACCTAGAGGCTGTGCCTGGCAGAGAGGTGCCCACCAGGGTTCTCGGTCCCCGGCCAGTGGCCCGCTGTCCACCTGTCCCACCTGTCGGGGGGCTGTGGTGACGTGTTGCCATGGTAACTGCTGTCCCTGCCACAGGCCCCAGGTGCTGGTGATGCTGAACCTGGATGCAGAGCAGCACGTGAAGCACCCCCGCCTCCTGTCCTTCACCACGCAGCTCAAGGCCGGCAAGGGGCTGACCATCGTGGGCTCCGTGCTGGAGGGGACCTACCTGGACAAGCGTGTGGAGGCCCAGCAGGCCGAGGAGGTGGGACTGGGCGGCTGGGGCAGCGGCGGGGGGTGGGGCCAGGCCGTGTCCTGCCTGGGCTGCACGCGAAGGTGAAACCAGCGTGTCTTCCCAACGCCCTGAAACAGTTGTGTGTGTTGTCACCACCACCTGTCCTTCCGTGCCGAGCTGTGTCCGTGTGTGTCTCTAAAACAAAGGAGTTTCTAACAACAGTTCTTCAACACCTTCAGCATCGTCTTGTGCCAGGCAGTGTCCAGCCTCCCTAGTTGTCTCACGTCTTCCTTTCTTCCCTTTCTTGTTGGCTGGGGTTGTGTCGGACTCACATCAGGCCTTCCATCCGGCTGGCAGCGTGTCTCCAAGCCTCTTGCTCTTTGGGTGGGTCCTTCTCCCTGGCTCACGGGTTGAGTGGCGGCTGCTTGTCTGCCGTCCCCATGTCTGGGTCAGCCCACGTGTCCAGTGTCTTGGGGCTGCACCCAGAGGCACCTCCAGATGCAGGCTGTTCATTTACGGGAGGCAGCACTGCTGGGGGGGCTTGTTGCTGACATTATCCCCTGGCAGGTGCAGAACACGGTGTCCGGCCCCTTCCACGGCCTCCATCAGCCAGACAGCCGACCCCTGCACAGAAACCTGCCCTCCTGCAGCAGCTCCCAGGTTCAGAGTGCTCTGGAAGGCAGGAGGCATGCTGGGTCCCTTCCTGTCCATCTCCAGAGGCACCGGCGCTTTGGTTTTGGTGCCATTGTGAACCCAGGCGCTTGAACTTGACCGTTTTTGGCTGTAAACCGCTGGTTTAGATCCTGCATCTGACTGTAAACCTGCATTTGATTGTAAACCGTGGACTGGTCCTTGTGCTGCTGTCCTTGGGGGTGTCCGCATCGTCCCACCTTTGGCCAGGGCAGCCTCTTCACCTTGGCCCCTTGGCTTTTTTGGCAAAAGCATGGTGTCTTGGATGGCTTCCTGCATCTGGTGTGGCTGAAGCTCCAGGCCCACCACGTGCGTTTCCTGCACGCACCTGCTTCCACGGATGGGAGAGGCCCTGGGGTTTTATCTGTGATGCTGTGCCACGTGGTCACCAGCCACAGCTCGCGTTAAGACCTGCCCAGATGCCGGACAGAGCGTCACTTCTCTTACCACTCGGTGGCCCCCTTTGTCCTCCCAGCATCTCTTTGGGGAACCAAGGAGGAAACAGAGCCGGGAGGGGAGACGGGGGCCTGGCCATCTGGTACTGAGTGGGGAGGTCAGATTCTGAGCCTGAGCCCAGACGGCCCAGACACGACCACCGTAATCATCTGACTTGTGTTGTTCTGGATTTTTTCCGGTTTTTTTCTTTTTTAAACAAATGATCCTGCAGAAATACACACAGAAGTGTGTTTAGCACACTTATTTTACTTTAAAACATTACTTTTCCGTTTTAGCACAGTGCGTGTTTTGTTTACCCCGGCTGTGCAGTGCACCGAGGTGGTCGAGTAAGGCAGGAGGCACCTGAGATCCGCTCTGGCTCCTTGAGGTCAGCACTTCAGCCAGTGGTGTCAGAAATGGTCAGTCTCGGGGCCAGGATCACGTGGTGTGTAAAGCTCCTCGAGTGACCACGTCCTGACGCAGCTGAGCCCTTGATGGCCGTTTTCCTGTGCTTTAGTCTCTGGCCACATGTGATTCCAGGAAGTGTCCCCTGAGCTGCATTTCGTATGCACTTAGGCGGCCCCGGGTCTTGGGTGAGATGCCCTCGGGAAGTGCAGCCTGTCAGACGGATGTGATGATCCCGACTTTTCCTTCTTGAGCCAGCAGCCCTTCTGACGCAGGGTGGCAGCTGAAGTGCGGGAAGGGAGGAGGGAAGTGGCTGTGGCCCTTTGTGTGAGGGTCTGGAGGCTGCTGTAACAAATGATCACAAACGGGGCTTACAGCAACAGAGATTTATCCTCTCCCAGTTCTGGAGCCAGAAGTCCAAAATCAAGGTGTCATCAGGGCCGTGCTCCCTCCGGGCTCTGGGGCAGGGTCCTTCCTGCCTCTTCAGCTCGCAGTGGCTCCGGGCATCCCTGGGCTTGAGGCCGCATCATCGCAGCCTTGGCCTCCATCATCATATGGCTTTTCTGTGTCTGTGTCTCTCCTCTTCTGTCATTGGGCTCAGGGCCGCCCTCATTCAGGATGATCTTATCTGCAGATCCTTAACTTAATTACATCTGCAGGGACCCTTCACAGGTTCTCAGGATTAATATCTTTTGGGGGGCCACCATCAACCACTATGGTTTGTCCTCTGACCCCCCAAAATGCACATCTGCCTTTTGTGAAAAATACATTCATGTCATTGCAACATCCTTCCGGGTGTCAACCTATTTACAGCATCAACTCTGAGTCCAAAACCTCGTGTAAACATCAGCAACTTAAAGATCCCAAATCTCATCTTCTCAATCATCTGAATCAGGTGTCGGTGAGACTCTGGGTGTAGTCCATCCTGGGGACAGTTCCTCTGCCCACAGACTTGTGAGACTCGGAAAACAAATGATCTGTATTCCAAAATGCAGCAGGGTCAGGCGTGGATAGACGCTCCCATTTGGAAGCAGGAATCCAGGGGTCAAGGGTCGCTGTCCCAAGCAAGTTTGAAATCCAGCGGGACAGTCCATTTGGTGTCTAGCTGGGCACGCTCCTCTGCGGCTCGCGGCTCTGCCTAAAGGGGGCCCCAGCCTTGGCCTCCGGGGGCTGGTCAGCGTGACCGGGGAGGAGACCAGTGTCCACACAGGTCACTGCTTTAATGAAAGGCGTGTCACTGGTCACTGTCAGGCCTCCCCTTGAAACTGAGCCACGCTGGTCAGAGGCCTGGCACGTGGCGGAGAGGGCAGACTGCCCACGGCGGGACGTGGCACGTGCCTGGTGTTCCACGCCTGGACGCACGTTCCACAGTCTCTCTCAGGTGACTTGTTAGATTGGACACATCCTAGTGAAGTTTTCAACGAATCGGGTGTGTAACACAGGGTCCGAAATCTCTGAGTGAGACGGTGGGGGCTTGGTGATGACGGAGGTCATGTGTAAAGGACTGCCAGTGTCGAGTGTCCCGAGGACCTTCACACTGTTCTCCCGCACCCGTGCGCCCGCGTGCACACCCGGGCAGGCGGGCCCTTCCAGCCCCTGGCCTGTGTCCTGAATTTCGGGGACCAAAGGCCACGCCCCCATTGAACCTGTGGTCTCTCTGTGTGAGGCAGTAATGTGGGTGTGCGGCTCGCGCAGTGCCGCCCGGGCACCCTCGTGGTGGTGGGTGCTGGATTGCTCCTCCCAGCCCGCTCTTTGGGCGCTGGGACACCGACCCTGGCCTGTCTCCCCAGAACATCCGGTCTCTGATGGGCGCAGAGAAGACCAAAGGCTTCTGCCAGCTGGTGGTGTCCTCCAACCTGCGGGACGGCATGTCCCACCTGATCCAGTCAGCCGGCCTGGGGGGCATGAAGCACAACACGGTGCTCATGGCCTGGCCTGCGTCCTGGAAGCAGGAGGACAACCCTTTCTCCTGGAAGAACTTTGTCGGTGAGCGACGTCTCCAGGCCTGTGTATGGGCTCCCACAGGCCTGTGGGGTCTCGGGGTCACTGGGCCCAAGAGCCTGCTTCTGGAGGCTGTTGGAGGCCCTGGCTGTGCTGTTTCACTTGAGAAGCGAATGGCCATTTGAAAGCCTTGAGACGCGCTCTCCCCTTCTCCCAGCCCTGCCCCCTGGTTTGGCGATGTACCCACTCGGCTGCCCTGCGCCCCTCAGGCCGGGCAGGGGACTTGCTGATGGAGCGAGGGCTGCCCTGGGCACCAGGCCTGGGTGGGGCTTTGCAGGAACCCTGTGGCCTCACCTGCTGCCACCTCCCATGTTGGCTGGTGCCTGGTGAGTCTGCAGGGCTGTGTGGTTCTGCTGAGGCCCCGGTGACCCACCCACTGCCTCTCCACAGACACCGTCCGTGACACCACGGCAGCACATCAGGCCCTCCTGGTGGCCAAAAACGTGGACCTGTTTCCACAAAACCAGGAGCGGTTCAGCGACGGGAACATCGACGTGTGGTGGATCGTGCACGACGGGGGCCTCCTCATGCTGCTGCCCTTCCTGCTGCGGCAGCATAAGGTGGGGGTGCCAGGGGCAGGGGTCACGGGTCAAGGATACCTATGGGGGCAGAGGTCACAAGGGGATGGGTCACACAGGGGTGTGTGGGGGTCACATGGGGGCAGGGGTCACATGGGGGTCTGGGATCATACTGGGGCAGGGGTCACGAGGGGATGGGTCACACAGGGGTGGGGTGGGGCACACAGGGCAGGGGTCACGTTGCGGGTCAGGGATCCTATGGGGTCAGGGGTCATGAAGGGATGGGTCACACGGGTGGGGGGGGTCACATGGGGGCAGGGGTCACGTGAAGGAGGGGTCATACGAGGGGTAGGGGGTACTGGGGGGAGTCTGTGTCATGGGTGGCCGCGGGGGGATGGTGGGGTTGGGAACGACGGGTGCTGGGCGGGCAGGGGCTCACCGGGCCTCACCCCCGCCGCAGGTGTGGAGGAAGTGCCGGATGCGCATCTTTACGGTGGCCCAGGTGGACGACAACAGCATCCAGATGAAGAAGGACCTGCAGGTGTTCCTGTACCACCTCAGGATCAGTGCGGAGGTGGAGGTGGTGGAGATGGTGAGGGCATGTGGGCGTGGGCGGCCACTGCTGGCTGTCGTGTTTTAACGAAGTTGGGCGCCGGGAGGCGGTGTCGGGCTCCCGCCGGCCCCGTGTTCACACGGCAGTAACAGTGGTCGTCACAGTGGAGGGCGCTGCACCCCAGACTGTTAGCGTCTGCGGCGTCCCTGGTGTCCCCCTGCCCTGGATCCCATCCAGGACCCCACACTCCCTTTGGCCGCCGTGTCCCCTCAGGCCCCTCTGGGCTGTGACGGTTCCTCAGACTTCCTTCTTGTTTTTGTGACCTTGACAGTTTTCAGGAGGTAGAATATTCTATAGAACCTCCCTCGGTGTAGGTGTGTCTGATGTCTTTCTCGTGAACGGATTTACGGGTTCGTGGGAGGAAGACCACAGAGTGATGTGCCGTCCTCCGTGTGTCCTGTAAGGGGGGACGCGATGTTCAGCCCACACAGGTGACGTGAACCTGTGGTCCAGGTGTGTCCTCCAGGCACCTGTGCTGTGAAGTCACAGCGTTTCCGTGTCCACACTCCATCCTTGGGAAACGTGTCCCCAAGGCCAGCCACCCTCGGCGCAGTGGGGGATTAGGCTCTACTTCCTGCAGGGGAGCATTTCGTTCATGTTGGGGTGTCTCCTGGGTGCGATTTCTCTCCTCTGGTCAAGAGTGTGAAGTGGACTTGTGCGCGCTGCTTCCCACGTTCGCTCACACACCGGCACCACGCTGTTTATCTTACTGTTCACGTCATTCTAACCTCAACTGCTGGCAGGTCACCAGTCAGCTCCCACGTCCCTTCAGCGTCCACCATCCTCCCTGTCACCATCCATCGGCCTGCCTCGTCTGTGTTCAGGACCCTCACGCAATTTTAAATACTCTGAGGTTAAGATGGCGGATGGTCTTCCGTGCGTTTGAGGAGGCCTCTCGGACAGCAGAGCCACAGCGTGAGACGTGGCCTCGGTGTCACGGTTGTGCAGTAACTAGTTACTGTGTTTCGGAGCCGCTGATGTTATTCAGCTTTTGTAGTAGGCAGCGGGTGTGATTTATTTAACAATAACATTAAAATCCACAGCCTTGCCTGCTTCAGTCATGATTGCAAATCAGGTTTAAGTAGAAAGGTCTGTGGCGTTAGAGACCTAATTGCATTTGCTTTGTGACGTGAGAGCAGGCCTCTGTCCCTGCCTTGTACGGACCCTGCTTGCCCTCGTGCTGGAGTGGCTAGTTCCTCCCCAATGGGAACCCGAGCAGACCTCGGCCAGAATCGGGTCAGTTAGGTCCCTCCTTCCCCTCCTGCTGCTCCTGCGGTGTTCGCCAGGCTGGACCCCCATCCAGGGCCCACCAGGATGGAGACGGTCGAGGACGCCACTCTCATGTGGGGTCCTGTGAATCAGGGAGCCCTCTTCACGGAGAGTGAGGGCATCACCTGTGGCCCGCGAGGCCTGGGGTGTCTGGGGCACCATCCCCAGGACCCGGGGTAGGGGGTCGGCATGTGTGAGAATGAAGGATGAGGGGAAGCCAGGGTCAGAGGCTGAAATCTCGCAGTAAGAAATCAGGGTCACTGTGAAGGGAGATGGTGCTCCCGGCAACAAGTCTCAGAAGGACCAGTGTCGGGAGCGTGAACCGCCAAGTGTTGCCACAGAAGGGTTTGGGGTGTTTGTTGGAACTTCTTTAAAGTGAATAAATTGTGTCAAGAGCCTCAGGGAAGTAAAAGTAAGTGGATGTTTGGTTAATGCCCAGAGCCAGTTCCCTGTGGACGCCCAGGGGCCAGCGTGTCCCCACAGAGTCAGCAGTAGGTGCAGCGTCCATAGCCATCTCACTTTTGGAAGTCGATGTTGGAGTCTTAAGTATTAGAAATAGGGATGCTTTTATTTCTGCCTATGATTTCAGTATCTGGAAAACCCAAGAAAATAAAAATTTAATCAGTAAGAAGTTAGTAAAGTGGCCTGATACAGAAAAAACACATAAAAGTGAATTTTCCCACACAGCAACCTGTTGGGAAGTTTAAGGGAGTGGGACCAGCTCGTAGGAGCCGTGAACAAGGGCCCCTGGCCCTGCCGGATGGGCGCCTAGAACCCCACGGAGGGCACACGGCGGCTCACCACTCAGGGCCCTGGGGGTGCTGAGGACTGGTGCATGCTGCGCTCACAGACCCCACCCCGGACAGGCAGGGTACCCAGCGTCACCCACTGAGGGACGGGCCAGTGGTCAGGAGAGGGTCTGAGCTCTGTGGTCAGTGAGCAAGTTACAGACTTGTCCTGTGCAGGCGGCCAGCTCTCCTCGGGGCACAGAAAGTGACTCCTGTTACTTGAGAGCGTGTCCCTCATGCCCGGTCTGTGTGCTTGGGGCCACAGCTGGGCAGCCTGGGACCAGAGCCCCCGACACAGTGTGCCCTGGGTTAGCTCACAAGGGTGGCGCTTTCCTCCTCATAGGCCGGCCCGTGTGTCAGTGAACGGGGGTTCAGGGGGGAGCGTGTTCAGTTGTGACGGCTGGTGCCACTCGCCCGCACACACGCTTACATGCTCACACTCACAGGGGCCCCTGGGGACGGGAGCTCCAAGACGGCAGAGGGCAGGACCGAGAGGCAAGGAGCTGGGCACCTAGGACACACGCGCTCGTGTTGTGTCTCGCCTCATTTGAACACGGAGTGAGACGGGTGGAGTTTGTGAAAATGCATCACGTTTTGCACACGTGTTTACTTCTGTGCTTTGGAACTTTCTAGGTTGAAAACGACATCTCAGCGTTCACGTACGAGAAGACGCTGATGATGGAGCAGAGGTCCCAGATGCTGAAGCAGATGCAGCTGTCGAAGACGGAGCGGGAGAGGGAGGTGCGTGCGTGGGGGTCCCTGATGCGGTGCAGGCAGTCGGTCACAGGTGGTGGTGCAGGGACCGCGTGATAAGGACGACCTGTTTGCGTCACACTGGCCTGGGCTCCTCCAGACCCCGCGTGGCTGTCAGGGCCGGTCTTTGTGGTCACTTGGAGCCAGGCATCTGCACCTCTGGTTTTGTGAACAGCTGGGTGGCGTGCCTTCCGCTTCCACTTCTCTCCTCCACACGGTTCGAGGTCGCGCCCTCACCAGCCACTGTGGGCCACACTCAGTCCCTCGTTCATCATCTCCTGCTGGGACCACCACGGCGGCCCAGCTGGCCACCCTCCTCTTGTCCCTGCCGTCCTCAAAGCAGCAGCCACAGCGAGTCCCTAAGAGCCACTTCCAGACCCCTCCCCAGGCTCCACAAGGCCCTGCAGCCCCGCACAGTCTGACCCTGTCACTGTCTGAGCGACCTCCACTCTGGCCACACGGCCCCTGCCCTGAGCCCCCTCATCCCACAGGCCTCCCCCACTGTCCTCTGGCCATCAGTCAGTGCTTTCTTTGCACGCAGGCTTCCTGGGTGCCTTGTGCAACCCTGTATCTCCCGCCCTCTGCATCCTACCCCTCCCCAAACCCCCGTCGACACTCGTTGCCCCACCCCAAGAATGTGGGTTCCCTGTAAGCCCCTGTGCTGTTGATGCATGAGGGGATGGATGCATGAATGAATGAATGAATGAATGAATGGGTGAGTCACTGAGGGGATGGATACATGAATGAATGGGTAAGTCAGTGAGTGAGGGGATGGATGCATGAATGAATGAATGGGTGAGTCAGTGAGTGAGGGAATGGATACATGAAGAAATGAATGGGTGAGCCAGTGAGGAGATGGATACATGAATGAATGAATGGGTGAGCCACTGAGTCAGGGGATGGATAGTGAATGAAGGAATGAATCGGTGAGTCAGTGAGGGATGGGTGGATGAGGAGATGGACAGGGGAACGGATGCGTGAATGGTGGATGAGTGGATGAACAAATGAGTGAGGAAGGGTGGGTGAGAGGAGGGATGGACGGGTGGAGTGGGGGCGGAGGCAGTGTGTGTGGAGCTGCATCAAGTGTGGAGACTTGCAGGCACGAACGTCGCCTCCCATCAACGTGGGGTCCTGGGTCCTTTCTCACGGTTTCCCTGCGGGTGCAGGGCCCCCAGGTCTGCTGGTCGTGCAGCCCCTGGGCTCTGTGGCTGAAGCCGTGCAGAGCGGCTTCTCTCACTGTACTCGTCTCCTCCCCGGGGGAGGTTGGGGACTGCCGGTCTGCTGAGTGCTGTTGCTGCCCCCACTGTCCCCCCAGGCTCAGCTCATCCATGACAGGAACACCGCCTCCCATTCTGCGGTGGCCAGCAGGACCCGAGCCCCATCCACGCCGGACAGGGTGCAGATGACCTGGACGAAGGAGAAGCTGATCGCTGAGAAGTCCAAGAACAGAGAGTCCAGTGTGTCCGGGTTCAAAGATCTCTTCACCCTGAAGCCGTGAGTGTCACCCATGGCTGCAGGTGGCCGTCCTGCTGCACTGACCCAGCAGTGGACGGGGGCTCCCTTTGCTGCCCATTGAAGAACTGCAGGCCCACACCTGTGGACCAGCAGGCCTGTGAGAGAATGGAGCCAGCCCGACGGCCGGTCTCCTTCAGGGCTGGTGAGCCGGGCCCCAGGCGGCGAGTTGCTCGTGAGCCAGCTTGTCTGGGTCCTTGGTGGGTCTCGCAGCTGCTGGAAGTCAGGGCTTCTGGGTAGACTCACAGCTCCCAGCCTTGACCCCCAACCGTGTAGGCTGCCCGTCAGGGCCAGGGCCTGTGTCCTGCCTTGGCTCCGCCTGTGTTGTTGAGCTGAGCACCCCCCGGGCTGGCAGAGGTGCCCACGGGGGAGGCGGTGTGGCTGGGTCCTGGGTTGAGTCACAGTCACACAGCCCCTCGGGCCCCGGATGGGAGAGCCAGAGCTCCCTGAGGGCTTCAGTGGCGGAGCTAAACCTAAAGCCCCGAAGGACCGGGGGGCTTCCTGGGGCCCCAAGCAGTAAGACCCCTGGTGGAGAATGGCCGGATTAGCCAGAAAAGGGCAGCCTGGGTATGCCCAGCGTTGTTCACAGGTGTGCGTCGCGGGCGCTTCTGCAGTAATCTTTCTGTTCTTCTCTCCCTTGTAGAGAATGGGGAAACCTGTAAGTTCGCTCGCTCTGTTTAGGATGCCTCTCAGGCTTGGTCGCCCCGCACGCCCGGCACTGCAGCCCTGTGAACCCGCGTGTGCATGGCCGCGTGTGTGCACGTGTCCCCATGTGTGCATGCATGGCCCCGTGTGTGTGCCCCTGTCTGTGTGCGCGTGTGTCCGTGTGCAGGCGGAGCTTGCCCGCCCCCGCCGTGGCTTTCAGTTGTTTAATCCTCGCTCCTCCGTTCAGAGCAACTCACGGCACATTCCCGAATCTTGTTCTCTAAATAACGCGGAACACCTGGGGTCTGGGGGAGGTTGGTCCTGAGCCGGCTCAGAGTGGAGAGGAAGCATGTGCTTTGGTAGCTGTCGGTTAATGCGTCCACGTCCCTCGAGGTCGAGGCGCGGATGCAGAACCGCAGCATTTCCCCGTCTCCCCGACGCCAGATGCTGTCTCACCTGGAGGAGGCTGCATCCTTCAGTCCCCTTGTGGGAAGGGACGTGGATGAATCCTGTGCATGGTCAGGCCCTCGGGGCTTAGTTCCATGGCCAGGGGTCCAGGGCCGGGCGGGAGGTGTCCCAGGGATCCCGAGGCTGTGTCGTCTGTCTGTCTCTCGCCCTCCCCGATCCTCCCGCAGAACTTTCTGGGTGTTTCCCCTGCGGCAGCAGCAGCCAGGACAGCGCTCACAGCCGAGCAGGAGATGAAGTGGTTTAGCCCCAAACCTGAGTTAATCGCACACTAAGGGAAGCGGGAAAGGTTGGCCACTGAGGGGCAGGCCATGTAGACACGTCGGGAAGCTGCCAGGAGGGAGGGGGTACATGGGACTCAGTGCCTCCTGCTCTGTTTATCCGTAATTTAAAAGTGTTCCAGAAAAAATCTATTAATTAAAAAACAAGCACGTACACACAGGAATAGGGTTTCTCCCCTAAACACCGTTGAGCTGGAGGCCCGCTGAGGTCCCGTCACCACATGCCACGTGGCTGACGGTCAGGGGCCCCCGCGTGGGTCTGCCACACTCAAGCAGGGTCGGGTCTGGACCCCAGCAGGCCTGGAGAGTCAGGAGAACGTGAACTAGGAAGAGACTGTTTTACGGGCATGAACTAAGTGTGCAGACCTGGAGTCGTGCGTTGGGGACGGGACCTCACTCCCATCTAACTCCTCTTCGTGGGTTAGAGTGGGAGAACCTTCTGGAAGGTGCGGAGGTCAGCCCCTTGGTGACACGTGTGACTTACCGTGGGGTCCCCAGAGTGGGTGCACTTCGGGGTGTCGCTGGCCCTCTAGGGTGTGTTGTGTATCTTCTCCGAGTCTCTGTTTTGTCAGCCCTCCTCGAGTGTCACCACCAGGAACTGAGTGACAGAATTCCCACTTTGCCTGCCCGCTCACTGTGGGCACGTGGCTCACTGGCCCCCTCCTTAGCTCCCGGTGGCCCACTACCCCCGGACCCTAATTCCTAGCCTCAGGGATCTCTGTTTCGAAGGCTCTTCTCCACCAGATTCAACATATTTATCATACATTTCCTTGCTTTGCGGATTCATGGCCGGCTGTTGAGGAACAAATTCGGGTTTCTGTTAGCTTCCTGGAAACACGAGGCCACGCTTGGCCCCCGTCTGTGCCTCTCTGACCTCCACGGGGCACGTCGCCCTGGAGCCAGGCCCTTCAAGATCCAGACCTTGGATTTAAGATGATACGTGTTTTCAGACTCTTAACCCATGAGATGGTTTAACATCACACACATGCATTTCTGGAATTGCTGTTGTCCCCAGACACACTGGTAATTGTGGTCTGTCCAGGCAACTAATTCATGGTTCTTGTGATGAAAGATCTGATTGTGTTGTGGCCGGAGGCCTGACCTGTAATTTATCAGATGAAATTGGAGAGGGAAAATAAGGGATTCCTCTTCCCTGTCTTGCTTCTGTGACTGGTGGTTATAATTGGATTTATTTGGCTTAAGGGTTGAGTTGATCAAAGGCTGTGGCCGGTCATCCGTCCTGCAGGCCTTTCCCTGACCCCTTGTGTGGCAGCCTCTGTCTGTCTGTCCATGTGCCCGTCCTTCTCGTGTCCAGAGCCTAGGTGACCTCCTCTCAGAGAGGCTGCAGCTGAGACTGCTGGGCTGCACTGCCTGTGGCTGGCCAGGGTTCCGTAGTGTGTGACCTGGGAAGTGGCGCTTGTGCAGAGTATTCTGACACAGACGGAGGTGCAGGTGCTCTGAGGCGGGCAGTTCTCCTAGGCCAGTGTCCCCCCATGTACTTCCTAGAACACAGTTCACTTGAGAGGGGACCCACAGCCACCTGGCTAGGGACGCTTGGGATAAACATGGAGGACAGGAGACCTGGGGGTGCCCAGGCATGCCGGGGGGCCCAGGTCTGCAGCATCCCCAATCTGACTTGGTGGGGACCCTTCCTTGGGGGTCGCTGCTGGCCTGGGCTGCCTGGGACACTTGGAGAAGGGTCCGTGCGCACAGTGGACGCTCTGCCTGCCTTGTGGAATGTGGAGAACTGGGTAGTTAGTGAGCACACAAGACACAGGGTCTGGGTCACCGAGTGTTGGAAGCTCTGGTCCTTCAGCCATCGCACAAGAGCAGCAGTGTCCAGGTGGGCGGAGGGCTGGGGTGGACCTCATAGTGGCTGCGCAAGCTCTTGCGCCGCGAGCCGCGTTCCTGGCCACAGTCTCTGGCTTGATTACAGGACCTCAGACGGCAGTGGCCGTGGAGCTGGGTGGAGGGGCCTGGGCCTTTTCTTCCTCATGTCTCTGAGATGCCCTTGGACCCCAGCCCGGGTCAGGGTGAGTGAGAAGCTGCCGTGCGCGCTCAGCAGGCCCGTCGCAAAGCAGCATTTAGAGCAGGTTCGGCTACGAGGCCCGGGATTTTAACGGGAAACATTTCAGGGCCTACCACTGCGCGAGCGCTTTTCTGTGCCCGGACGGCGAGCTCTGCCGGGGAAGCATCCCGTTGCCGCCTGTGTGTAGAGCCGCGTGTAGACGTAGAAGCTTGGTGGCTGTAGCGATGCTCAGTCTAGGACGTGTGGAGGCAAAGCCCTCTTGTTGCTGGACAAACCACTCCCCCGGCCTGTCGCCAGGGTTCTCACGTGGAGTCACCTCCCTGTGGGCTCTCCGGGTGTGACTCCATGTGAGTCCTGGTTGTTTTCACCTGGCCCTGTGTGATGAGGGTGAAGTGGGCGGGGCGGGCTCACACGGCCCGGCCCAGAGGCTCGGGCTGGTGGCGCCCAGTGACCGGGTCTCCCACAGGAACCAGGGCAACGTCAGGAGGATGCACACGGCCGTGAAGCTCAACGGCGTCCTGCTCACCAAGTCCCAGGACGCCCAGCTGGTGCTGCTCAACATGCCAGGGCCCCCCAAAAGCCAGCAGGGGGACGAGAACTGTATCCTTTCTGGGCGCTGCCCGCTGGGGCAGGTGACAGGCAGGGCTGTCCGTGTTTCCTGTAACGGGATGGCGGCCGGCTCTCCTCTGGTTCAGGTGGGGCCCCTGGAGCCCCCGGGGAGCACTGGGCCCTGAGGCCGACCTGACGTCCGTGCGGGCAAGGAACCCTGCCTGGGGTCGCCTAGACCAGAGCCTCGGCACCCTGGGCTGCCCATGGGGGCTGTGGGCAGTTGGGCGGCCAGGCAGAGGGGCAGACCCCTGCCCTGCCTGTCCCCACGTGGCCGGTAGTGGTGGATCTGGGAGTGGGCAGGGGGTAGGGGTGGGGGCTCTCCATCTCAGCCGTTGAGGAAAGGAGCTGCATTTGAGCCACTGGGGGTCCAGGAGAGCTAGTCCTGGGGAATCGCAGGGGACAGCCCCCAGTTGACTTTGGGGTGTCGGTGCCAGGGCTGAAGGAGGCGGTGTAGACGACACAACACGAGCAGAGGGTAAATGCACTTGGTGTTCCCGATGGCCAAGCCCTCAGCGCAGCACACAAGGACGCCCCAGGAATTGAGACGATGAGTGAGGTGGACACAAGCGTGGAGACTGAACCCTAAACATCTAGAGGAGAAGGCCGGTCACCACATCACTGACCCTCGACCCTGTCTTTGTGGCGTGGCCCCCGGGCACCAGCCCCCGGGTGCTGGGCTCTGAGCTCCCGCCAGCCGGCTCCCGTCCTGGGTGATTTCCTGCGGCCTCAGGCGCTGTGTGTGTTTACTCTGTCGGGGAAGAGGGAGAATCCCCCCTCCACCCTTTCCCTCAGGGTTCTTATGGCTGGCCAAATAATTAAAAGACAGGTTAGCAGGAGGAAATAATACCAAGTTTAACAACATGTATACATGGGAGAAACCAGGGAAACTGAGTTTCTCAACACAATAGCAGAGAGTCTCGTCTTAAATACCATCTTCAGTCGAAGACAAAGGAGGATGTTGGGGGTGGGGGGAGTCAGTTACAGGAGATTACCACTAAAGCACAGTAAACAAAGAGTAAGGTTATTATGCAGATTTAAGGCCTCACCTTCCACATTGATAAGTTTCTAGAAATGAGGTCATCCTCCCTCTTTCCAGTACAGAGAGGGAGATACCTTTACAAATGGAGATTTCCCTTATAAATGTAAGTGTTTGTCTGGCAACTCCTCGCAGGGCCACCTAGAGAATGGCCGGGAAGAGAGAGAATTTTTGATAAGAGGGGCCCGTCAGTGCCTTTCCTATTGTAACATCTATTTTACATTATATTACAGCCATCAGATAGTAACTCCTTCCTGGAACAGGTCTTCTATGTTAAATTCTTTAGGCAGTTAGTGGGGGAGGTCAAATGTCTGTCAGAGAAAACAAGGTAAAGAGATATATTTCAGGGTAGCCAATTTTGATTTCCCACAACTCCATCCCTAGGACGGGGCAGAGCTGGGGCACCTCTGCCAGAGGGTCTGCTCCAAGCCTTTCTCTGCTTGTCTCTTGGCTGCCCCTTGTCCCCACGTGGGCCCTCCTGGTCGGTCATGGTGGGAGGCTGGCAGGCATGACCTTGGAGGTCACAGGTCAGCCCCTAAACATGTGTCCCCTGTGATGGGGGGACAGGTCCCTGGGCTACCTGGGGGTGTGCCGCCTGGGGCCATCGTGGGCTCGGCCCCCGCCCTCCCCTCAGGGCAGTAGGAGGCAGGTTGCCCCGAGGAGGTGAGCAGCCTGGCTTGCAGGTTTTCAGCCTCAAGCTGGCCGCACGCTTTAGGAATCGGCACTTTGTTGGTGACCGGGATTCCTGGCCTGTCCAGGCATCTCAGTGGATGGTGGACACGTCCATCCAGGGCATCCCTCCTGCCACGTCTGTGTGCAGAGCCCCTGGGGGAGGGCAGGGTCTCCTCTCGGGTCTCGGTCGGGGCTGACCTGAGCCTGGCTGAGGGCTTGTGTGGGGCGGGGCCTCTGGGTCTCCTCCCCTCCCTCCAGAACCTGGGGCCTGGCTTCCCTGACTCGGCCTTCCTCCTCCTTCTCAATTCGAGTCCTGACTGGACACAGGGTCTGAGTAAATAGAGTCGCTCCCCTCATGCTTCTGGTTACACGCCCGGTGGATCAGCTGTGTCCTTAACTTAGTCCCCCAGATATGGAGTTCCTTGAGGTCCTGACCGAGGGGCTCAACAGGGTCCTCCTGGTCAGGGGCAGCGGCCGGGAGGTGATCACCATCTACTCCTAACGCTCGGCTTCCCCGGGCACGTGCTGGGCTGGCATGGGGATGGTGCGTGGCACACACTGACCCGTGGCCTGGCCTGCTGGTGTGGCTTCCTGCAGAAGTGTCTAGAATACCACAGGGGGCTGTCCTGTGCAGGCCGAGAGCCAGCGCGTGACTGAGAAGGGGAGACACGGGCGCCCTTGGTGCCCCGTGTGCTCCTGAGGGAGGCTCGAGTGACCTGGGCAGAGTGAGCCGAGCAGCGCCAGCCCTGTGCTCGGCCTTTGGATTCTGGAATTACTGTTCTGTGGCTGGACCTGCTGGCTTGGTGGCGGTTACATTTTAGTTCTTCCCCGTCCAGGATGTTCACCAGAAAACACTCTGTGTCTGCAGCCGGGTCACCGGCCACGTCCCCTCATGAGCACTAACGGCCAGCCCGGCAGGCCCTGGAGCCGTTGGCACCTCGCACAGGTGAGCGTGCTGAGAGCCAGGGTGCCACACACAGAAACGGTCAATGCCGAGAATTCTCCACGCCGCAGGCGTCAGCAGAAGAGCCCCTCAGAGCTGTGAGCACGCCACGCAGTTCAGCGTCTGATGTACAACCCAGTTCCATGCTCCACGCTCGGAGAGGGAAGGGGCTCTAGTGTGGAGCTCCAACAGCGTCAGCGGCCCCCGGCACTGACCCGTCCGGCTAAAGCCTGTGTGTCGCCTCCTGCCAGCACGGAGGGGATGGTGACAGTCGGGTTCAGGGCACTGACAGACACCTGCGATGACCCGTAGGCTTTTTGCACTTGACCTTCTGGTCTCCACTTTCTGTGTCGTGATCACGTTCCATGTAGATCGTGCAGTAAGTTGTGCCTCACCCTCTGTGTGGCTTATTTATTTATTCAAACACCTGGGCATCCAAGTGATAATCAAGTTGTCCATAAAGAGAGGACGGCCCCAAACGCCAGGCCCTCCGCTTTCTCTGGCTTTCATGGACTCCAAGGAAACCAGCCCGGTCCCTAGATTTCAATTCAGGGCAAAGGCTAAGCATGTGCTTCCAGATGTTTCTGAGGAGCAGTTGGGCAACACAGAGTGACCACTGGCCGGAGCATGTGCCAAACAGCCGCAGCCGGGTGGGGCGGGGGATTGGTCCTCGTGGCCATCTCATCCAGCACTGACCTAGCAGCAGAACCCGCCCCCTCGCACTCGGTCCCCCTCCCGCATCCGGGGAGGGCCGCCAGTCTGGGTCCCCTAGCCGAGAGGAGAGCAGTGTCTGCACTGACTGGAATGTCGGTCAGCGGCTGGAAAGCAGGGCCCACTCCTGTCCTGACCCTTGTCACACGAAGCAGAGCTGGCTGCATGGACGGAGGTGGGAATGTGGTGTCTGTGCCCTCGCCTGCCCTCCCGAGGTGTCCGTGTCAGCACCGCGCGTCCTTCCCACGCTGTGAACTGTGACCCTGACTGCAGCAGTTTAAAGCTGATGCCATGTGCTTCTTTTTTAGTTTCTGTCTTTGTATGATTTTGTTAGTAGAAGAATAAAATTGTATAACATCGGAGTATGTTGAAGAATCTCCTGTGTCTCATTCGGCATAAAAAATAAACAATTGGAGAAAATGCATCCATCCCTCCCTTGTCTTCGAGAAGTTTATTTTAGATCTGATCAGCCAAAGAAAACTCAGATGGCTGAAGAATTATCATGAGAATTGGCCAAGAGAATTTTAAAAACGTTAATCAACAGGGAGCTGTCCTATGCCCCCTGTGTTTAGATGTGCAGTGCAATAAGGTAATACTGCTGGTTGTTGAATGACTCCATCTGTAATTTCTATAAGGGTGGGATCAGCAAAGAAAATCTGTCTTTAGAAGGGATCCCTTACTCGAGCATACTCACAGATGGCAGTTCACACCTGCTAGGATGCGGGTGTAGCCAGAGGAATGGGGAGGAATGGGTGCTGGGGGACGTGGAGCCCTCCCACGGCACAGGTGGTGGGGGCAGGGTGCAGAAAGGCCCAGCTGTGTGGGAACTGGTGCGGTTCCTACAATTGCCAAACACAGCGTTACCCTGTGACCCAGCAGTTCCGCTCCTAGATTGATCAGCAGGAGGAGTATCTGTCCACAGAAACCTGTTCGTGCACGTTCGTAGCGGCATTCGTCACAACAGCCAAGACTTGGGAACAGCTCGATGGCCCTCAGCTGGTAGGTGGTAGGCAGTGTGGTGCAGACGTTCAGTGGGAGGTAATCAGCCTCTGAACGAAGCACTGACACGCTGCAGACTGGAGGAGCCTTGAGAACGTTATGCTGCGTGGAATAAGCCAGTCACAGAAGGGCACACGTGTGATTCCTTATGAAATGCCCCGAATAGGCAAATCCGGGGAAACGGGAAGGGGATCGGCAGTAGTTACCAGGGGCGGGGGAGGGGGAATGAGCGACTGTCAGTGGGCACAGCTTTCCCTTTGGGATGATGGAAATGTTCTAAAGTTCGTTGTGAAGTTTGCACAATCTGTGGATATGCTAGGAAATGCCGAATGGACGCGATAACGGGTGAACTATGAAGTGTGTGAAGCTCTTAGTTACTGTGTGTCCTATGGGCCTTGGGCACGGGGCGGAGCAGCACCGCAGGAGAGTGCCCGAGACTTGGAGCACAGAGGCCGGGCCTTCGGGGCTGTGAGACCAAATGGGCAGAGGCCCAGGGTGGCAGGAGGGAGGGAGTCGGGAGCAGTGGGAGGACCAGGCCCAGGGATGGTCAGAGGCCCCATGGGGGTCTAGCAGAGACATGAGTGAAGGAGTTGGCGGAGTCTGTGGGTTCTGACTCCTCCGCGCCTGTGGGCACCCACGCAGCGAGTTCCTTGGCCAAGTCAGTTCGGGAGCTGAGGTCAGCGCAGGGAGAGGCCTCTGTGGCCTCCAGACGCGGCGTCATGCCTCTACACAGGTGAGTGAGCACTGCTGACTGCTAACGTGTCGCTTCCTAAACTGATAAACTCACCCTCCACAACACCGCCTTCAGGGCCTTGTGCTGCGGGGACACTGGAACCCTTGGGTGGAGGAATGGGCCTCATCCAGGCAGAGGCCCCAACCTGGAGGGATCCCAGCCCCTGTGGGCCTGAGGGGGGATGGAGCCCCTGATGTCACTGGACCAAGGCCCTTCTGTGCAGCTCTGAGCTGCGACCCTTCCGTCCACCCTTGGGGAGACAGTGTCAACCAGGACGCCACGCGAGCTGTGGGAGCTGTGACCAGATGGCAGGGCTGCACTGAAACAGGAGGAGAGTGAGGGTCAGTTGGGAGCAGAGGGGCCTTTCCAGGGAGAGATAGCAGCATGTGCAGAGACCCCGAGGCAGGGACACCCCAAGGGCGGGAGGGGCTTGGGGGACTTGGCGCTGGTGTTGGAGCAGCAGGCAGCCCTGCCTCTGGTGTGGGTGGCGGAGGCCGTGAGGCGGGTGGCAAGGACCGAGAGGAATGGGGCTTGCTGGACGTCGGAGGCCAGGTCAGCAGGGCGTGGGAGAGCTGCCTGTGGCAGGGCAGGCAGGCTCCAGGGAGGCATCAGAGTGAGGGGGCTCCTGGCCATGGGAGCAAGGCCGGGAGACCCTGAGCTTGGAGGAGGGTCGGGGCTCCAGGCTGTGTGACCAAACCCATCTGTGGTTCCAGGCTGGGGGAGGGGAAGGACGCGAGGAGGGGATATCGAGGGCAGCGGCCAGCAAGGGCTGCTCCACCAGACAGCCCTGGAAAGGGGTGCAGAAGCGCGAGACGCCAGAGCACCCCAATGTCGTGTGAAAGGAAAACCTGTCTAAGCGGCCGAGAGGCTGCACAGAGCAGCGGGTGTGAGACGGCAGCGCCTGCCACATCAGTGCTCCGGAGTGCACCGGCCACCTCGGCTCTGCAGGGTGCAGGTGACCCCTGACCCCCCCCGGAGACCCCATCCACCTCCTCTCTGCAGGGTGCAAGTGACCCCTGGCCCCTCCAGAGACCCCATCTACCTCCTCTCTGCACGGCGCAGGCAACCCCTGACCTCCTCGCAGGGTGCAGATGACCCGCCTCCTCCCATGGGAGGGCAGGAAGGACTGTCTGCACAGCCCTGTATACAGCGTCTCCATCAAAAAAAGAAAAAATATGTGAACAGGGCAGGAGGAATGATGGACACTTGTGCGACTTCTAAGAAACTGATGGGGAGAGGAGGAGCTGCCCCCACCCCGGAGGAGTGAGTGCATGTCGTGAGGTCGGTCGCACGTGCAGGGCGGGTTGATGAAGGCTGTCCTTGCCCGAGAACAGGCTTCGACCCAACCTAGAAATGACACCGGGCGCGGGGGCCACGGCCACAGAGCCGCAGGCGTGGTGGCCGTCTCAGGCGGCAGCTCCCCTGGTGGATGAGGACGTTCTGAGTGCTGTCTCCACAGACATTTAAGGCTACATGTAGGTGCCTGTTCACAAGTGGGTGGTGGAAGCGTGACTTCTCCTGTAGCTGGGATTCATCTGTGCAGAAAGGGGAAGTGATCCAATCCCAGGTCCCATCAGATTCACTCAGCTGATTGGGGGTCTCCCCCCAGGCGGGGCCGGAGACAAGCCCCAAGAGTCTTCCTCTGCACTCGCCCCGGGGGGTGCCTGCCTCCCCCCGGGGTGGCCTGCTCATCCGGCCCCTGGGCACCAGCCCCTCCCCGACTCCCGGGGCCCCTCCTGCCTGGGGGCTGCTTTCCCTGCAGCAGTCGGCTGGCCCCCATGTCCTCACTCACAGCCACGTGCTCCCCCCCAAACCCCCTCCCCGGCTCCCTCATGCAGGCCCGGGGACCCCAAGATGCCGGCCACTCCAGCCGTCCACTCCGGCCCACCCGGGGCCTCCACAGCCCCAGGCCCTGCTGGTGCCAAGTCCCCGCCAAGGCATCTCTTCACCAGGCCTCGTCAGGCGCTCCCTTGGGGACGGGAGGCTGCCCCGGCTTTCCTTTTCATTTCTTTGGTGCTCTGCAGTGGCCCCCGTCCCCCGAGGGACAGGCAGGGATGAAGGTGAGGGAGATGGGGAACCAACAGGTCTCGGGACAGTTCCTCACATCTGCCACCACGGTCGTGACCGCCACGTGATGAGATGCCATCTTCCTCAGAGCGAAG